GGTTTAAATCTTCAGAAGACAAGAAATGATCTTATTGTGATTATTCCATGAACTCCTGGCCTATGGAGAATGTATAAATTGCAGACATGGCAGTGGAGTTGTCATAAACAGATAAGCTCTTTTGTCTACGGGCAGAAAGAAGGTTTTTTTCACTGCTAACCTTCATGGTGAGCATCTCAGTTCCAGCAGGAAATACATGAACTACAAGTCGAAAAAAGACAGTTCTTTCAAAACCTGACAGTGCTGTATTGGTTGCTGTCTCAGAGAAGTGGTGAGAGTTAAGTTACATGCTCTGTGGCATCCTGCACTAAATAAAAGCTGTCTGTCCAGAACAGCCAGCTGTCAAGTGCACAAGGTTGTATTTGTTGTGATTATTAAAAACATCTTTAAAGTCTAACACATAATAAGGCTTAAACTTAATATGGGTCAGACACAGTGTGCATTTACTGACTGTGCACTCATTTCTTTTAGTTCTATTTAAGGTCTTTCATGCGATACATCTCTATATTTCAAGGACTTTCAGGAAACTAAGTAGCCCGTATTTGACATTTTGGGAAAGAACTCGCATTTTCTTCTGCTGTAATTCTTAAGAAGTCACAAGACAGTTACGGCTCACACATTGTCATGGAAACTTTAGCAGTTAGGATTAGCTCGCAGAGAAGATGAGTTGCAGGTATGAAATATTTAGGCATTACACGGTGTTGAAAATATCTTTTTACTCTGCTACACATCTTGCGGATCGAGAAACACAACACAATTCATCCAGTCAGAACAGACCGTGTATTGTGCCATTTTTTTGTGTTTTTCTCCTGCTTAGGGCAACAGCAGTCGAAGCTATTCACAGAAGCTGTAATGGATATTTTCTTCTTTCCGTTTCCACATTTATTTTCCTTGTCTGTCGCTCTGTCTCCTGGAAGGCGATCAGAGCGACAGACTGAATCTGAGAAAAACAACACAACATGAAGCTAAAATACAGTACATCTCCCATAGCCGAGTTAGCTGCCTCTGGACAGACACGGCCTGTGTCCTCTGCCTCAAAGCCCCCTGGTCAAACAACGTTAGGGCATGTGTTGTTGAGTCTGTCTGCATTTAATTCACAGCTTACTGCTTTAATAGCTACAGCCCCCTGCTCGCTGCTGAACCCAGGGGGCCATTCTAGTCGGACTGTAATAGCTTGTACCGAGATACAGTTGTATCTCCTACAGATGAAGCAGGATGGACAGCCAGAGGTGCTGAGGCGGGGTGTTCATTTTCTCAACATGTAGCATGTTTGCCCACCTTTGCCTGTGTATACAGCCCAACACGGTTCAGAAACACTCACTAAATCCTCTGTATCTCACACCTGGGAATACGAAAGCATGTCCACACAGCAAAGCCACACTTCATCCTACAGAGCAGGGCATCCTCCTAGGGGTTACAACCAGAGCACACGAGAGTATATTGTAACACTATAGATGCATTTAAGCTTAGATATGTTTACGTTCAAGTGCTAAGAGGAAAAAAAAGCAAGGACATTTAAAGGAAATGACCAAAGGCAATGGAGAGTAAGTGAATGAATGCATGGAGGTGAATAAAGTAAAATAAAAGGAAAGACAAGTTGTCATTGCTCTCCATAAGAATGACTGTTATGTACAATCAATAAGCAAACCAGACTAAAAGTCTACAGTCATACCAGCGGCTCCGTGAGGCTGTACTCAGGCACAACAGTGCTTTGAGCTGCATGCTAACATCAACATGCAAACTAGGGCTGCACCAAGTTGTTGTTTTATTTATTGATTAATCACATTTTCAATTAGTTGATTTATGTAATGAGTAATTTATTGATTATTCTTAAGAATATTTTTTTAAATTCCTAATTATTATAACAATTAAAAATACACAAAACTACTGTGACACATAGTATCATTTTATCAGTGTATGTCAGAGCAACCTTTTCCCTGAACTGGAGAACAGTATTTTTACTTCAGGGGATAACCAAGTCATAAGGATTGTACCTCTTGGGGGAAATTAATGAAACCATGACTTTTTGTATGAAATCCCAATTATTCTTGAGATATTTCAGTCTGGACCAAAGTGTTGGAGCGATTGACATGGCCAAGACACATGCTGTCGGAAAAAGGAAATAAATCTAGACAGGCAGATGGCTTAAATACCGACTGTATGTAAATGTGTGAATACTGAGGGGATATGTGTTATTCCTCTTCATGCCGGTGTCTGAGAAAAAGTAGGTAATTCTGAAAAGTGAGAACATTGAGCTGCTAAACCCAAGTGGTAGCCATCTTTTTTTCCCAACCTGTAGCATAATTAATGGGACTTTAGTATTCTGTTTGCCAGATATGCTAAAAGAAGATGAAAGAATGCAATTAGAAATGACATGAATTATTGGTTTTACTGATTCCTAAAAGTCTAATACAATTCCACTAAAAAGTGGACAGTTTCACATCATTCTTGTTCCGCAAAGCCATAAAAGCACGGCCGGTATTACTACCGGCTGTTCCATTTTCCATTTTAGTTTTAAAGACCATCGCAAATTACCTGAAAAAAACGAATCAACATGTAATGGAGAAACAAGGGACTTTGGTCCTAAAAATGATGCCAGGTTTGAAAGGACATCTCCGCTGTGCACAAATGATGCGCTCAGCAATGATAACATTACCATTTGAGGCTAGTTACGGCTTTCAGAGGGAGGCTGTTGGAGTGTGGGCTGTAAAAGATGGCCAGGTCTAGTGTTGGAAACAATCTAATGATATTGGCATTAATTAAGGGACATTTTGTTCTCCACTTTCTTTTTCATTCCAATAAAGTAGCTGTAACAGTTTCTAGATATTCTCATGTCATGCCAGAGAGCATCTACTTCATGTACTTTTGTAGTTTATCTTCGTGTATACTGAGGCACTAAACTTCTCCATCCAATTTCAATTTGCCCCATCCTGTGTCTGATTACACTGCTGAGCACCGAGATGATCAGCGACAAGACCAAATATCTGCTTAATGAACACTGAGCCCTGGTGAGAAGTCTTGCCGACTGACTCTGCACTGTGACGGTAGAAAACAAAAGCCCCGACTGAAGCAGCTGCCTATAAAGTATAGACTTAGTGCTCCACACTGCATTCACGACATTGCTCCACCAGGTTTAATTAAGTTTGTGTTTAATCAAGATGTGTGCAGACTGAAATATTCAAATGGCCTTAAACTGTACCTGCACAGCTAAAAAGCATGATGTTAGTATAAACCAAAATGCCACATGGAGAATTTTGCTGACCTGGGATCAGTAAAACAAAAACATAAACTTATAGGTTAAGGTATTGCAATGAGTTGTGGTCATGCCAAATGCATCCGCCAAAAACGCTAAATCCTACCAGGTATATTTGTCTAATTACTAGTCAAAATATGTCATATGAGACAATCACATAAAACATTTACATATAATACAATAAATGGCTGAAATAAGCAAAAAAACATTAAATTACTGAAACTCATTTGATCCATTTTTATAATAAAAGAGTAAAAACTGTATTGCATGAGGATCAAGTCATGAGTTCATGCAGGCAGTTTCTACTAGTCACTCCACAAATATCACAACTATATATATATATTTTTGTGCCTTCATTAAATTGTAACTTTGCCAGAGTTTCCTGTCTTTCAGCGACATTGTCGCCTCAGCTTTGAGCACTGGTGCTATAGCAACAGTAGACATGTTGATTGACAGCAAGCAGCCCTGAGAATAGCATTCACACAACCTACTGAGAACTTTAACAGGATAACAAATTCAGTAAATGTTGAGTTACGCTCATGCATGGAAACAACTCAGTAGTCTGGCCAATGCTGCCTTTTTGGAACAGACATTTTCTTACAAAATACATCCAACAAGGTTGTTTTTTTGTCAATTTTGAAATCTATTTCTTTGCTGCTTTTAAAATTTTCAGCAAAGGTCAAGGTTACAATGATCATGAATGAAACACCCTTATTCCACCTGCACTATGTTTTGTTGCCTCATCCAGCAGCTGGTGGATGGGGCCTTGACAGATCTTTCTCCTTTATGAGATACCAGCACAGGTGGACTTTTAAGATGCTCTCCTTTTTCGACTTTTATTCTCTTTCTCAGTCCTTTCCCATCTCTAGTTCTCCTTCCCCATGTCTCTCCCAGAGGGAACAGATATGAATGGTGATAAGGAGCCAGATGGGAGCCGCGCTATGAATCCAGACTAGAGGCAGTTAAAATTTAGAGGTCCATTGTTACCTCTGGAGGGAGATATTGATTGGTGTTGTGTGTTAAGTGAAGCAGCAAGTTATAATCTGCTTAAATGATGGTCATCTCATGTTCAGTGCAGAACTAGGCCTAATTATACTAGTGTAGTTAATATTTTTGTTTTGTTCCACTCACCTGGATAATTTATAGGACCATAATAAAACGAGTATATTTCAAAAGTTTAAAAATCAGAAGAGCACCTTCACTATCCCGATGTTTAGAACCAAACCTTTCACAATGTGTACTTGAGAATAAGTCAATTTAAGAAGAAAAGAAAGCATAATTCAGTGTTTGTATTTTTTTTGTATACCCAGGGGCTTGAGAAAAACATTTTTCTTTTGTGGTTTGAATTCGAAGTTAAAACAACAACAACTGAATTTCAGCGAGTTGCGTCAGTAAAAGACATCCTTCAGAGTTCAGAGTCAAATCCTGAAATTGAACAAGTAGGTGTCGTTCATGGTCTAGAAGTTTGGATCAAATGCGGCACACAGTGCGCACTAAAACAGTGAGGAAAATACATTTGCAGGGTTGGACACGGCCGCAGGCATTGTCATAAAGCCCCATTTGCAAAGTTCATCCCTAAGACTTTCGTCCTTGCTATCAGAAATGTGAATGCCATCCTCGTAACTTAAAGTGACAGGAAGAAGGCTTGCAGGAAGGAAATAAAGTTTAAGTAGCGTCAAGAGTTCTGTCTGTCCACAACATGTTTGTCTGTAAACACAGGCGTTTGTTAAATCAGTGTTTGCTGTACCTGTCCCCAGGTCGGTGTGCTCCTGAGACATGTGCTGGCTCTGGTGGACCCATTCGCCGTTGCACTTGAAGAAGATCTGAAGAGCGGGCCGAGCTTGACACCGGAGCTTGATGGGGTTGCTCTTGACGATGTAAGCATCAACGGGCTCCTCCAGGAAGTGGGGAAGTGTCCCGGACTGGCCATGCTGCGGGGCTTCACCTCGGGGACCTGAACAGTAAAATGAGAAATTCAAATGAGACTCCAACGGAATGACGTCTGGACAAAATGGAATCGAAAAGTGTAAATCATGAATCGAACCCTCTCAGATTTTTCCCTGCCAACTAACCCTGCAGTGGAATGTTGTTTTCGACACACACACACACACACACACACACACACGCACACAAACAGCTCAAAGCTAGCTCACTCTCCGACTTCCCCTAGCTTCCACCATCCCTCACCCTCTCGCTTCTCCCCTGCAACCAGACCTCAACGAGCAGCCATTACTCCTCACAGCGACGTCTGCCTCGGAAATAAATTGTTTTGGAGCACAACGTGAGAAATAACACAACAGAACATCAGCCCGTCCGCACAGTCCATTCTCCGCCGCAGCATTACAATCATTTATAGAAAGCACACCGAGTGTTTAATATTTTAAGAACATAGACAATGCTACAGTTTGCAGAAAGCTAGGCTACACTAAGACATTTATGATGAAAACAAAAATGACCATTCTTATTTATCTTTTAAGGGAAGATACTGCAAATGAATGGGGTAAAAAAAATGTATATAAAACATACTCCCCAGTTGATTACTTACATTAGGATTATTATTATTTGTTGTACACGTTTTCTGAAATGTTGTTTAAACATGCAAATGGAGCCTCATCTTACTAAATATGTCCATTTCATACCAGAAATCTGAACATGGGATGAAGCCAAAACTATATTAATATTTGCCATCTTTTGGGGAATAAATTGCTCTTTATGACTATGAATGACATAAAAACAAACCCCTCAGTAAATACTTTCAGCATATAGATAGGAAGGAACCTGGAAAGTTTGGTGTATGGAAGAGCTACTGAAGAGCTATTATCATATAGTATAGAGACACTGCAGGTGAAGAGAGTAACACTCGTAGATATTACCATGAAACCTCCCCAGTTGATTCTCACATTAAGACAATTGTTTTTTACAATACACTTTATGTAAAATATGTAAATCAGGTGTTATCTAATGCTTACTTTTGGTGAATTTAGGAGAAATCTACAGACACAAATAGACAAAGTAGTAAAATAAACACCGAAATGTATTTTATAAAAGTTTTCTTTCCACTATTCTGAAAGAAGATCATCATTATGTTTTTGAGGAGTGGGGTGATTGAGCTCCTCTGGGATTTGAGAGGCATTTGTTAAGTGGTATGTCAACTGCACTGTTGGCTCAATATATGTTATGTGTTTGGTAACAAATACCAACAGTAGAATTACAGTTTGGTAGGATGGGGAGAAAACCTGATTTTAGTTTTCAGGGGGAAAGACTCTCTGGAGAACTGGCTGAGCTGTACAACAAGACCAGAAACAAGTAGCACTTTTTTTTATAGCAATGCAACCCGACTATAGCGATGGGAGTGGAAGTACTTTTTGACAACCACTGTGTAAGGGAGAGCTGTGGCCCTGCACGATTACAACATGTAAAAGCAGACATCCTTTTACTAGAAACACAACAAAAAAGTAGTAGAAGTGACTGGAATACACATCTGATTGGAAGTGAACAAGATAGAGACGTCCTTATGTTTATCAGACAGATCCACAGTCATCTCGTAGAGACTTCTTTGATCTCTCGGATGTGTTCACTAAAGGCCGTTAATTCAGTTGAAGAATTCACAGGCACACTGGCAACACATTTAACAGGAGTCCTTCCGCTTTCCGGTGCGTTTGAGTCAGCGCACGTTCTTTGCTACTTCTAAGTGTAATTACACTCAGACTAATCCCCTAGTTTGCCGGAACCTCTTTCATGCAAGTGTGAAGGGTTTAGCGAGGCAAACCGTCCCGGGTCCGCCCCTCCCGATCCTAACTGCACACTGTGACGTTTCTCCACAGCGATGGGTGTACGTCCTGAAAAGCCCATCAGGATTAGAGAACCCACTCTCTCTTTCTCTCTCCGGCTAATCTAATCCTCCTACCTTTCCTGCCGGATGTCTCCTGATCGAGAGGAATAGATAAAAGACTGTGTGTGATTCCCTGGCTGTGAAAATCACGGTGCCAGCTCAGTGTTCCTCTCTCTCTCTCTCTCTCTCTCTCCTCCCTCCCCCACCAGTGCGACAAGTTCACGTTCTCTCCCTCGTTCCTGGAACTGAGGCTGAACAAAGAGACATGCTTTTAATTTCAAAATGACTAGCCCCGGGCAAGCTTTTCTTGTACAACGGTGCTCCAATTTGTTTTTGCGCGCCGAGCATTGACACGGTGTGTTTGTGTTTGGATGGATGCAAAACACAGACGTGAGTGCGCATCCAGGCGGTGATAGATGGAAACATGAATACACAAACACACTGCTGTCAAACAAAGCCACCAAGTAATGACTCATTTGTTAATAGATCAGGTATTATACTAATGCGTGCCAACATGACAGTTTAAAGCCACGGCAGCTAATGCCTCAAACATCCACAGGAGCAAGGTTTAGCGCAGCTTTTGCCGGCTTTATTTCAGAGTTGGTTCGTTCACTTTGAATTTTTTATGCAGCAGGTGGGATAGTATTGCAGCAGACTGATTAGGCGAGACACAAGGAACGACAGTCTGGTGTGACTTAACCTCAGGCTGGCGGTGAGACACGCAAGCACTTAGCCGTCTCTGGGACCAGGGTAACATTGTCTTTGCTCTTGAAACGACTGAATGTAGATCCTGAGGTGCAACACCAATCGGTGACTGTTGGACGCCCCTTCCGGCTCTGCCACCCTGCAGCGAGTACGCATATGGAAGTGAGATAACTGTTATCATGTGAGATGTGGCTGAAACCAAGCGGCCTGCAGAGCCGCTTGGCTCTGCAGACATCGATTTTAGTTTATATCATCAACAAAGGACCACTCCCTCCTCAACTTCCCCTTTCTCCTCATTCGCGGCACCGCACCGAGGGAACTGCCGCCCGATACGCTTCGAACCGCCAATGTTGGACTTCCACAAACAACCCGTTGGAATGCCCAAAATGGAGATAGTTTATTTACATAATCCCTAGCTCAGAAGAAATTAGTTTGATATCAATATCAGCAACAACGGCACATTTCCAGCCGTTGTTGCTGATGGTGCTGTGGGGGAGTTCTGTTTGTCCGTTCCAATGTCCTCCGCTCATTTACATCTGGGGCTGTTATCGCTTCGTCTGCACGCTCCCGGGGAAAAAAAGGCCGAAGGACCAATTTCTCTCCTCGATGAGCTCCGCCGCTGTCATTCAGCAGACCGATCTTCCCCTGCGCTTCACAGTTTTCACAGTGATCTACAACCAATGCCTCAGCCCGGCAATAACACACAAGGGGCTTGGATACATCTAGCCCAGTTTGAGAGGGAAACAAGATATCACTGTCAAAGGCTTGAGTGATGGCTCTATCAGTCTCAGTCTCTCTCTCTCTCGCTCTCTCTCTCTCTCGAACACAAACAAACTTCTGTCCTGGAAATGCACACGCAGTCTGCTAATACCGCGTTCGCTGCGATGCAACCTGTGAGGGGAACTCACTTTTTTTTTCCATTTCCTCAAGTACAGCAAACGCTCCATTTCCTCGCATGCAAAATTGAGAGCAACGGGTAAGTGTGGTCTCTTCTGTCAGTTCAATGTATTCATAGCTTTTAGTGGAACCTAAAAGAAATGAGGGGGAAAGAGCCCCTCGCCGACTGAACTAATTTAGTAAAGCCTTTGGGTAATAGCACAGGCTGTTTCACACGGAGAAAGATGATTGCTGCTCCAGCACACTCCGGCGTGATTTGGAGAGACTGAAGGCGAGCAGCCAGACTGATGTTTGCCAAACTCTGCTCCACTTTCAGCACACTGCAACCTCACATCCTGGCAGACGAACTCCTGTCCCGTTTCCATCTCAAACACCAGCTGATCTGATCCTATCCAACCCTAGGAAACATTGGGTCCCAACGGGGCACACATCCAAAGGGGTGAGTACACCAGAGTGTGTACAATGAACCCCATGACATCAACTTTGCCTTCCTTTCCGATCTTGGAGCTCAGACTCAAGATCATGGCCAGCTGACTGAGATCAGCCAGCTACGCAACAAGCCACCATCATAAAAACAAGGAAAGGCTGCTGGATCTTACAAGCCACCAAGCTGTAAAGAGAGCCACATACATCCACTGCGTTAAAACAGTGTGCAACAAACAAGAACTTTTCATTCATCTGCTGGTTCCACCTCCAGAGCATTTTAACAGCAGCTCACCCAGCAACATGCAACCACCAATGAAACTCTACCAGAATCGACAAATTGCAAACAATTCCTGCGATGCAGAACTGATTACGCTGGAGTAGAGTGGGGGAGGGGGCTCCTCTTTGTTTAAAAGGCTGTTGCCTTGTGAACCTGAACCCCCTGCCTCCGCATGCACTTCACAGGAAGCCATTGCCATTGCGCTGAACAAAAGCTCAATCTGATCGTCCTTTTGACAATTTGTACAAAACAATTAGTCCCGGGTTAATATGGGTCGCTGTCGTTCACGCGAGGCCTCGTTCGCAACTGCAGGTCCTTGTCACTCCCCTAACAGGGTCGTCATGTTTCAACAACAAATGGCTTGTTGTACTGGTGTTACAGCTGAGATTTAACACCAATTTACTTTCCTGTATTTGGTCTTATTTTGAAACATTTCTTAGCAAATAGTCTGACTGTTGCCATCTGCTTGTATCCACACTAACACTAACCGACAGCAGGTAGAGATGACACCATCATTTCCTTCCTTACACTGATAGCAATACCTGAACTTTACGGATGCACAAGAGGTTTCAACCACAAGTGTGCAGCACTAGTTTGCGCATGTGCAGTACGGATCGGGCAGGATGTACGGATGAGGTTGCGAGGGACGCTCGTTTAGCATAAATTAGCTTATGAATTATATGATTACATGATATGGGATCGGAGCATAGACACCGATACCAGATCCAGTATTTTAGGCTGTACTGGTGGCTTTGTGGATACTAGTATGATACATTCACATCAAACATATTTGCTTCAGTTTGAAAGAGTTATTTAT